CATTGGGATATTAGTTGCGCCATATCCATCACTATATTTTCAGTGAAATGAATGAGAACAACTCCACAATTACGGAATTTCTAGAGTTAGAAGTCATGAGCAAAATATAATTTCCGAAAACCCATTGCATAGCCATATAGTTAATCCGAATCTCTGCATTCCACCATCAGATAACGTTAGTACGGTTGTTGGTAACATTTTTCATGAGAACATGTATTGTGCCAATCCCGACACAAAAACAGCTGGTTCAACTAATATCTAGGCCATAAAATTCAAAATAAAATTGCCTAAACTGATTAGAAATAAGTTAACAATAAGAAAATTGAAGTATTAGCAGCCAACTACTGTCCTCGGTAAAATTAATACCTTAATTAAACCTTTCAAACACAAGTACAATGACAGTGTCACAAGCAGCTACTTTAGGCTGATTTCATAGAAACTGAATATCACTGGATAATTGCAAACAACTAATACTATCAGGAATCCTAATAACGATTTCCGGAGAGTCATGCAAATATTGCAACAGTGTGGTATGTTGTCAAGATAAAAACATGCGAGACTGCCTACAATTCTCCTATGCATAGAAGACTCTAGTTATATCAATACCAAGGATTCAGAGCTCGTTTAATTTGAAACATAATGCTACTACGGTAGGGCAAGAATCACAGTCATGTAACTTGAGCACATTAAATGCACTAAAGATGCAGTCAGACTACAGTTAAGCAAGCAGAACATCAATCCCCTGTGTCAAATAAGAAAATTCCAGAATGCTCTTAGAAATAGTTTTCAGGGTTCAACTGCTCTCAGAATCGTTTTATTCACTCATGAATTACCTTATGTCACATCACACACAAAGACTATTTTGTGTGATAATTACATGTCTCACTACGATTCCAAGATTCATGACGTTCCCATTCATAAGACAACTGAGTGAGTGAGTGAGTCCATGAGAGTCAGATTTCACATTATCATCGAGTCACTCCATCGCGGTTCCTTGAAACAGTCTTTCCAGCTTCCATCATGCTGTTCTGTTAATAAATAACTGTCTTCTCACTCCATTTTGCTTAGTATATAATAGATGGCATCACAGTTGTATTATTGAGATTTCCCCACACTTCATAGCCAATCAATAATTGTCGGATGACCGCCTTTTCATGAAACTACTTCAACCAAAACTGACTTAGAATGCACATCCGTAAACAGTAATAATTACCTTATTTGTCATACTATTCAGTCAAAATTATCAATTCAAAACTAACACGTGAGTAATTTTGTCAAGAAGATGTGATAAATATCCCATAACAGAAAAAAATCTACACTAGAGAGTGATTACAAAACGGTGTTCATCACGCATGCCAAATTTTCATAAAATATCATACGAAATCATGAAGAGTATATCACTACACTAAATGGTGCCGTCTATGGGCAGTCACAAAGATTAGGCCTGTGGGGGATGGTCAGAAGAATATTTATGGAAGCGAGTATTGATATCCAGACACAGAATACACAGAACCACGCTGATTATAATAAACCAGAATATCATCTGCACCAGCAAACTCGTCACTATTTAAGGTATATGAACCCATCAAAAATTCGAAACAGAATGTACAACTTGTATATCCACATAAAATATGTGAAAATCAGTCGTTTACGAATTGAATTATGAACTTTGATATTGAATACAGAGTCAAACATAAAGACGAAACTGTAAACAATTGAATTCTAAAATACACCATTGAAAACATCATCTAGACGGAGTCAAGTGTAGTAAAGTCCAAATACTGTTTACCTTTTATTATCAATGGGTCAATCATTCTCGAGTGGATTCTATCATTCATATAAATTCATGTATCATCCACATTGTTCGATTCCTCTTCTTCATTCTGTTTTCAACTTGTTCAGTGAATGATATCGTCTTCTGAAAGGGTGTGAAATGGGTGTCAAATGGTTATTTATATTCACTTCTTGTGTAGGTGATAATTGGGGTGACAGTTCACTCTGGTTTCTTTCAAAGGAGTATAAAAAACCTTCACTTATGGAAAATCATGTCAAAAGGGACACCAGCAAACCTGTAAGATACACACTTCCATTCTTTGGAATAAAGAAGCTGACTATCACACATGAGATTAACACTCATTTCAAATACAAGAGATTTATGATACACCTTTAACCAAATTAATGAGTACTGTTTGTCACATAAAATAGTTAACCAATATATTGTGGCTTAAACAACAATTTTCATCACAAGCCGATTTTAGGTATTGAATGAATGCAAGTCTGGGAGACATAAATAGATGTTCTATTTCAAATATACAAATAACCCTCACTGGAAGTATCTAATGTCATTCGGCACCGAAGATAATCAGTATTTAAAATGAACACCATGGCATTTATTCACGTATACAATTCAATATTCTCAGTCCCAAGTCTGTGTGGAGGTCAACAGCATTCAGCGTCAAAAATAAGATCGAAATTTTTCAACTCCAATGTGAAGTCAGTACTACTATACGGATCAGAGACTTGCACTGCGCGTCATAAAGAGCACCTCAAACGAACTACAGACCTTCATCAACAGCTGTCTTCGCTCAATACTCAAGATCAGATGGCCGGCTAGAAAAGATCAGCAACAGAGATCTCTGGGAGCGAACTAACCAAGCAGGAACCGATTGTGAAACAAATAAGAAGGAAGAAATGGAGATGGATTGGCCACACTTTGAGGAAACCAGCAAGTGACATCACTAGACAAGCCATTGCTCGAGTGGAAACCGAAAGGGAAGCGACGAGTGACTTGGAGGAGGTCATGTGAAGAGGAGATGAAAGCGTGTGGGCAGACTTGGAGCCAGGTGAAAACTCTAGCAGAGAACCGAACGCAATGGAGACGCATGGCTGAAGCCCTATGTTCCTCTAGGAACTAAAGGAAATAATAATTATATAATAATTCTCAGTCCACCTGATTGCCAAATATCTTTTTGCTTCCGTTGCAGGCTTTTCACGGAATATAATAATAAACACTATCTCTTTTAATGCATCACTGTTAAATCTCATGCATGCTATTGAAAATATCAGAGTTTTCACTAGATGGTAGATCAAATAGGAATCATATTGGAATACAATGGCTAATAAGGAAGCAGACTATATCGAAAGAAGTATCCTTTGTAACATAACGTTTTACAGGTATTTGGGCTATTTTATTTTGACTAGGAAAATACTAGCAAAACTAATTGGCCAAAGTCGTCAGCAAATGAAATCTCACAGACTTGCTTTATCTGAATTTCATGACACATATGAATACATCTTTGAATAGTCACGTCGCTATCAGGAACACAACCACATTGCTCATATAGAAAATCCTTTAGGAAACTAAAATGTCTGATAAAGTCATGTGACTACTCTATCAAGTCACTGACTAGAAACAGTATAAAGCATTCGAATAAAGCAAGAACAACAGTGGTTTGCGTAGAATAAGATGAGACCATCAGCTGCTTACAGACCAAATTAATTGTGAGGTTTATGTACAGAAGAGGTTTAACATACTTGCAAATTTTACATGATGTCTGTTTATGGAAGGTTCCGGAATTAGTGAACTGCGCTCAGAAAATTATGATACACATAGTTTTTACACAGGGAGTTGAGGTTTAAACGAAGTAATGCATGCATACAATGGTAACGGAGTTACGTAATAAAGACGAGATATGCATAAGATGTTAACTCCAAGTGTGTATACAAACTTATGTGTATCTGCGGAAGCAGTTACATTGGAGGGGCAGAAGGAATGGCACACTTTCGGTTTTCTGAACATGTGCCGAAAAGCCTTTGTCTCAAGAGGACAAAGTCTTAAAATAGCCCTATTACCAGACATCTCCATACGGGTCATGAGGTAAAAATCGCAAAATCTTTAAAAATTATCAATAGACAAAGGAGCTCAATTCTCCTCACGTTTGCCGAAGCAATTGCTATCAAACGCTAGAAATCCGATTTATGCGTTCAGAAAGAAGCAGTTATTAGTCTTCCCTTCCTCTGACTGGTAACTCGATGTCTTTATTCTCTCTTTCGTTTGATTACACAATCTTTGGCTTTAACATCGACCCCTTTTATAATTTGTAATTTTGCTTGTCTGTTGTTTCTGTGATTTAAGTTGAACTCAGTACATTGTTACCTAATTTATTAGTCACTCAGCTTCTTACGCATCTCTCGTCTTTATTACGTAACTCCTTTACTATTGTATACATACATTTATTTTTGGTTTATCTCGAATTGCCTGTGTAAAAATTATATAAGGGTAATTTTCTAAGCACTGTTCCCTAATTCCGGAACATTCCGTAAACAGACATCATGTAACATTTGCAGGTATATTAGAACTTTTCTCTAGATAAACCTCAAAATTATTTTAGTCTGTAAGCAGCTGATGAGAAGCTAACGAAATAAATGATGGTCTCACCTTATTCTGCACAAACCACTGTTGTTCTTAATTTATTCAAATTCACCTAGGGGACTAAATACATAAAGTTTCCAACAAAGCGCTCGATTAGGTAAAACTATGATATCTTTTGCAATCACAACATGCTAAACTTCAATTAGACAAGTGCAGGGAGGTGATATCATGAAAGAATTACTTAACAATTCTCAAAAACATTGAACATATAAACATACAACATTCGAAATGAATGAAGCTCATAGGCTTATGTTTTAGCATACTGTTTCAGTTCAACGTTCAAATATGTGAGCAGATAAACACCAAGTGGCATCACCTGTATCACAAATGATTGTGACTTTACTACTTCTCTTCTCATGTGGTTTTGTTTTCAAATTCAACAGAGTCAAGTTTATTTACTTTTGTGATTCCTTATTTGGTATCAAAGTTCTTCTTTACATTTATCTACATCAATGCCTTTGCTCATATAAATTAACTCAGACTGTTTTTTTCAACCATTTTTTTTGACGACAATACGAATAGCTACTTTTTTTCTTGGTTCTCAGTGAGGCACCTACATTTAGCAGTGATGAGTCCATCAGAAGAGAGTAAGTTTATTTTCGTTTTGATCGAAATAATCTTGTGTTTTATATATCTGCATTCAAGTACACATTTCGAAAACTATTCTGGTACGTTTTATTCTCTCACCTAGTACTTGAAATGCCTGAATCACACTATTCCTTATGAAGTTGTACTCTTCCTAGACGCATGTCACGTATGATGTCAACCTGGCATATGACAAAAACAATCTCGTCGCACCCTTTGACATTAGTTTTCTATTTAAAATTAAATGATGCTTCTGACACTTCCTCCATTATGATTTATTGCAGTTGAAGTCAGTTTTCTCTGAATAAAACACTTGGAAATCCGATCATTTGACATTCACTTACAAATGGCTATTTGAAATATACTGAAAAGTTCCACTGAGAAAGTGCCGCATAAAGATCTAGTGAAATAGAACGAGAAAGCCAGACCTCTTTGAGACCACAAAATGATGACAGTTGATAACTGTTTTTCAAGGATATGTGATTAGCAGATTGGCAGATAATTTGCTGGTTATGCAAGCTGATTATTTCGAAATAGAAATACTGAATGCTGCTATGAGTGCGAATAATAAGTTAACCCAAACCGTGACAAGACAAGACTAGTATATTTCTCACTGTCTTGTGGTTGTGAAACATGGAAGTCGATTGTGAAAGATATTTGAAGTTTAGTCATTCTAACCAAAGATGGCTGCATTCAATCTAATTCGTTAGATGCCACAGTATGTTCAGTAGTAATATAACTGAGTGTATACCTCCAGGTAAATAGTGAGATGACCACGATGGTGAGACATGAAGACCGAAATTAACGGATTCGTATTCACTGACAGCAACTCTTTTGTCAGAGAACCACTCCGAGTTTCTCAAAAACGCCAGTATTCGAAATAATAGTTTACAGAAAGCTGTCACTTTGCGGACTGCTACTTCAAACTTTGAACTAATAAAAGTCCTCTATTATCAAATATGCACCAGATTCTATTCTTTCTTTCTTTCTTCATTTCATCATGGATCACTTGAAAATGTCATCCGTGTATTCACATTTCCGGTTTAATTAACTTCAATTCTAGATTCAGTGAAATCACAAAATGACACAAAAGTATGTTTCAGAATTTTACTAAACGTAACCAGATTTAACCAGTCTGTTTCCCCGCTGTCTTCGGTTCAGCAACGTAGCAAACAATTTATTTGGAAGGTATCTGATAAAATTTCATCATTATTCACATATTTTGTCGTTTTTTCAAAGACTATTATCACAGTAGCAGTGCAAATTTTAATTTTATGGGTAATATGCGCTATCGTCTTACCTATGTAAGTTATGCATTGTCGATTGACATTGATAATGATGTGCATTCAAGTGGAACGCTCAAGATGTGGATGATGGATAATCCCTGGTTTTCCTGGCTATGTGGGTACGTGTGACATTTTTTAATTTATTCCCTTTCAATACATTATGAAATTTATTATGCTTCTCATAGTCAGTGACACTGTAAACAAAATTTTATTTTGAATGAGATAGTGTACAAGTCTTTAAGACCTACCGAGTTGAGGTGGACAAGATTCTCGTATAAGGAAATCGTCGTCATCAGTGTAAATGGTATCATCCCATCAGCTTGTTTATTTGGGTATATCATCCTACTGCAGCTGAGTATTCTGCTTCAGTGGTATCCGTTACCACTCCTCTTACACTTTGTCAATTCGTCCATCTTACTTTTTCTTCTTTACTGTTCACCCTTATTCTTTCCTGGATTCCTTAAAAAGACTATGTCACACTTCGTAGAACTCTGAAGACTGTCAGTAGGACGAGTGGTATCCCATTGGGCCATATCGTTGACACTGTCACTGATAGGCACTTGATATCATGCAACAAATTTGCTAAAAGAATTTTGTCAGACTCTGAGCACCTACTCTACCCTCAGCTCCAACCTTGTGTCTCCTCAGGTAAAACAAGAAGTCTTTTCAGGAGAATTTATGCACGTACGTCTACGTATAAAAATTCCACTATACCATATTTGGCACGTACTTTATGTGATGAGAATAGTGTCAGACATGAACTAACTAACCTTCTTTGCACCACTAAATAAACCATTTCCTCCCCCTTAAAGCACCAAACCTTATTGTTATTGTATTTCTTATATTTATAGTCCTCTCAATTTTTTTGTTTTGTTTATCTTTTTTCATAAGTGTGGTCATAATTTTAAGCTGTGTTATAACTGTTAATTTTGTATTTCCCCTCACCATAGTATATCAACAGAACATTAGATCCAATAATCTATAACATACTAAAGTTTCCAAACTGAATCGACAATACCGTTTGAAACAAACTCACTGTTATTATTATTATTATATTTAATAATCTCAATTCGTGCTTCGAATATTTTTGACTTTATGTCGTAAATATGGACAAATTTCTCTGGTTAATTTTGTCTTAATTTTTAATTTTATTTACATTTTGAGTAAATCAGATGCAATATTGTGACAAATGCTGAGAATTCCATTCTGTATTATAAGTACAGTTTTTGAAATAAAGTAGATTATTATTATTATCAGACCACTCCCTATCTGTTTAGATCATCCATGATCCATGATCCAATGGTCATAGCTGATCAAGATAATCATAACTCATTTGAATTTCTGTCATGAAGCATTGAAGTATTCATAAACTTTCTTTTCCTTTGTTTGTTCTAATACAGATGTCTGGGAACATTTCTTCAACTCGAGATGTTTCTTATACCGCAATTTCAGTTTGCATTCCCATACAACTATATCGTTTTGATAATTGCTGTAAGTAAAATGCACTTAGCAATTCATATTATCAAATCAACCCATTGTATGACTGCATAAATTGCAATAATATTTTATGCCTAATTTTTTCAATATCTGATATAATTTAATGATGTAACGGCAATGAATATTAGTATTATTATTATTGTTTCCTTTAATTCCTAGAGGAACATAGGGCTTCAGAGATGCGTCTCCATTACGTTTGGTTCTCTGCTAGAGTCTTCACCTGACTCCAAGTCCGCCCACATGCTTTCATCTCCTCTTCACATGACCTCCTCCAAGTCACTCTTGGACGACCAACTCGTCGCTTCCCTTTCGGGTTCCACTCGAGCAATGGCTTGTCTAGTGATGTCACTTGATGGTTTCCTCAGAGTATGACCTGGCCAATCCATCTCCATTTCTTCCTGCCTATTTGTTTCACAATCGGTTCCTGGCTGGTTTTCCCCCAGAGATCTCTGTTGCTGATCTTTTCTGGCCATCTGATCTTGAGCGAAGTATTGAGCGAAGACAACTGTTAATGAAGGTCTATAGTTTGTTTGAGATGTTCTTTATGACGCGCAGTGCAAGTCTCCGATCCGTATAGTGAGTAGCACCGACTTCACATTGGAGTTGAAAATCTGGATCTTACTTTTGATGCCGCAATGAATAGTACATGGAGTAATTCATCAAGAACACATATTCGACTTCGGGGAACAACGAACACAAACGAAGTGGATTGGGGCTGAGATACTCATACCTCATAGGAATACATTATTAGTCTGCAAGCCTAAATTACCAGGTGAATTAAGTTAATTTTTGATTATTTGATGTGCAAGAGTTTAACAGACCTCACAAATTCGTCAATCAGCGGTACACCCATCGGCTGAATACACTTTCCGAGATGTTTTCAACCTAAATTTTGATTGAATTCGTTTTAATGTTAGAGCAAAATCTGTGTCGTATTGATTGAGGCATACTCTTGTCTGAACCCTACCAGTCAGGATTTACAGTGCAACCATGAGTTAAGCAAACTCATTATAGCCTTGCAGTATGAAATACCGCTACACGAAACGTCAACAATAATCTGCAGATGAATGTTCATCTGTTTCTTCCAGTCATCACATCAGTTCAAAATGTACATTCGATTTCCATGAATGTATCATTCATATATTTGTGCGTCATCTCTACACTCTGTGCTGTTTCTTCTCTTTCCCTCTTCAGACAATCATCATTGGGTTTCCCGCAGCTCTACCACTGATCACTGTAGCCTTCTGGTGGACATTTGTCACATGGATAATTACCATGATTATTACAGCGATTGTTGTGACTGCCAGTGTGTTCATAAGATTCGATATGCTGCGAAGTTTTGGAAAGCTGATAATTACCACATTCTCCTTGGAATTACTCTACTGTGTAATATTCTTCCCATTCATCTATTTCCAAAAATATGATGTAAGTAATCAGATGAACTTCAAGTTCTTCTGAATAAAAATTAACTGTTATTAAATATTTTATGTGATCAGCTTCACTGACGATTAATAATAATAATAATGATTTACTTTATTCCAAAAACAGTACTTGTGATACAGAATGGAATTTTCAGCATTAATCACAATATTGCATCTAATTTCCTCAAATTATAAATAAAATTAATCACACAGAAAATTTTTCCACATTTACAATAGGGGTAATGTCAAAAACATGCAGCATATAAAATGGAATTAATAATGATGATAACAGCTAAGGTAATATTAATAATACAAGTGGAAATTGCCGTGGGCTCGTTTCACACAGTATTGTCGATGCGGTATACAAATCCTTGCATGACTAAAAATATTGAATATAATGTTCTCTTTCCATGATATGGTGAGGGAAAAAAGAAAGATAACAGGAGTCATAGAGATAAGTTGGTGTTTGCAGTTATGAAAGTGAAAACAAAGAATCAACAGGACGACAAATATAATAGAAATAATAAAAGTGAAACTTGAAGGTATATAAAGATAGATGGAGAAGATTGTTTATTTACTAGAAGAAAAAAGGTTAGTGAATTCATGCCTGACGCTATTTTCATCACATAAAATACATGCCAAGTATGGTATCATAGAATTTTTATACTAAGACGTGCGAGCATACAGTTTTCTGAAGTTACTTCTTGTTCTACCTGAGGAGATGCAAGGTGAAAGCTGAGGATGAAGTGGATGCTCCAAGTCAGACAAAATCCCTTTAGCAAATTTACTGCACGAAGTCAAATGCCTATTGACAACGACGTTAACTATGCGGTCCACTGGGACACCACTACTTCGTTGAGGGTTCCATTATGAAATAATCATTGAACGTATAACGAAACAAGTAGTTCGAAAAGCACAATTTTTCCACACCTGTCAGTCGAGTAATATTTCAGAATATCGACATATCTTTCTTGGCTTGCTGAAATGAATTTTGCTTCAATGGTGAACATTCTCCTGAACCTGAGTGTTGTCGCAGATGGAAATGTGTATGAATGCGTGGTTTACATTTGATTTGCTGAAGAAATGTCTCATAAACTGGCACAATCTGTTTGACTTTTAATTCACCTCCTACTGAACGACTTACACTACTGTTGCTTCGGTTCATCAGTGAAAAAGATCGATTCTCTGCAAAGCTTCTTTTCATATTGGAATAAACTAACATTCTTGATGCGATGGTCATGTTTCACAGAAATTCATTACAGTCCAGCGGTTCATGGGCGTTATTTCTAGTATTCTTATTTTTAATTATTCCCATTTCAAGTGAAATATTTTGCTTCAGTGGAGAATCTACATATTTCTTTCTGCCATTATACTGAACTAGTTTCATACTTTCATCTCACTGTTCACATGCTCTTCTTTATTTTGTTCTCACAAGCCCTACCGCATTCGGGCTATTTTTGTGTGATGTCACTTCATTGACTCCTTAGAGAATGTCCAGTCCATCTGCATTTCCCTCCGGAGTTATGGTTATGTCGTAAGTTGTTGCATTATTCGCTGCTCACCAAGGTCTCTTCCTGTTGGAAAAGTTGAGATACTTTCAGGGATGACTGTACCAAGTTAAGCGGTTCTGGTTATGTCAGCTATGAGAATGAAAGAACTCCATTTAGCTATGTGTGATTAATCTTATTGTTGGTCATTTTTATGACCATGTACACGTGGAATGAGGAAGGCAGGTGTACTCCGATTGTAAATCCTTTTCATGATATGCTTGAAAAGTGTTTCATAAGACAGGAAATTTTGAGCATTCTTCACAGACCTGAAAGATGGAGACACAAAGGTTTCATTGTTTCATCTTTATCTAATCAACTGAGAACTTACCTCTCCTTTAACGAAGTGATATCTGCAGTTGTTTTAAAGATTTGGTCTGTTAAACAGCGTTTTCGATTTTACCCATGAAATGCATCATTGTAAATGGCACTATGTCGAAAACCGGCCTTCCTGCTTATTCGAAATATGGGGTCAGAAGATACTTAGTTGACGCTAAGGGTCTTTTGAAATGTTTCACAGAGTAAACAAATTAAAATTCTTAATTTTTATAATTTGAACTGAATCACTGATTTCTTTTCTCATTCTCTTCACAGATACTCATAATGCTGTGTGGATTGGGTATGATGACCACACTGATTTGGGTAAGTTTATCTATCGATAATTTACAGAAGAGATTAGCACTTTTGAATAGTTTGTGCTGGGTCATAGTCACCAGTTGTTATGCCTAATGCTGTTGAGATCCTGAAGCTGAATATTTCTCTCTTGGTAGTAGTTATTAGTAGGGTACATTTCGCTCTGTTTGTATTCGTCATATGTGTCTGCCGGTTTCTGACTGATCAGTCACACTGAGACCTGAACCTAATACACATTTTCTCCATACAGTAATCCATTTGGCCATTGTTCCGAAAATAAATATCAGCGTGAAAAAGCAAATACCAAGAAAGAAAGACAGATTAAACAATGGGCGGATCACTTCAAAGGACTCTTGAATCGACCACCACCTACAACCCGTCCAGTAATACCAACAACAGCACGTACACAACTGCAAGTTGACACCAATCCTCCAACGAAAGCTGAAGTCTTGAAAGCAATCAACCTTCTGAAAGCTGGAAAAGCAACTGGACCAGATGGAATACCGCCTGAAGCACTGAAAGCTGACCCAGAGATGTCAGCAGATATGCTGACTCCATTATTGCAAAAGGTCTGGAAGGAGGGAAAGGTACCTAGTGACTGGAGGAAAAATTACCCCATAAAACTACGAAAGAAGGGCGACTTAGGACTCTGCAAGAACTGGCGAGGAATCATGCTCCTATCAGCGCCAAGTAAAATCCTGAGTCGCATCATCCTGGAGAGAATCAAGGACACACTGGATACAGAACTCCGACCAGAACAAGCTGGATTCAGGAAAAACAAATCATGTTCTGACCAATTTGCAACTCTATGCATCATCATCGAACACAGCATGGAATGGCAATCAAATCTCTACCTCAACTTTATGGACTTTCAGAGGGCCTTCGACAGCGTTGACCGCGAAGTAATTTGGAAACTACTCGAGTACTACGGTGTACCCCAAGTATTCATCAACCTTATTCAACAGCTGTACGACAAGGGCACATGTCAAGTGATCCACAACGTAAAACCCAGCGAGGTGTTTGGAGTAAACACGGGAGTCAGACCCTTGAGTGGAACTTGAAATGGAAGCGGCGAGTGGGACGTCCAAGGGTGACATGGATGAGATCGTGTGAAGAGGAGTTGAAACAGTATGGACTAACATGGATGCAGGTGAAAAGTACAGCAGCTGAAGCCCTATGTTCCACTAGGAACCCAAAGAAACAATAATAATAAAGCAAATACGAGGGAGAAGCTCCATTTTTTTCGAAGTAAGACTGAAACTGAACGCCATCATTTTCCACATAACTTGGACAAATAGATCAACATGTAACGGACATTGAAGTTCACGTGTATTGTGTCATAACACAGGTAGCTCTTTGTTTCAAGATAACTGACAAATTGAAGTCAAATAACATCACATCCTTGTCAAAGTCGAACAACTGTTTCTCAGATCCTGAGATAATGCCATGTCATTGACAGGACTATAGATGATTCACCACTTCACTGTGAATCAACTTCAAACAAACCTTAGCTTAACGCGATTGCATCATGGATTAAAATATTGCTCAACTCACACACACCTGATCACCTGATCTACAATAAGAATGCTTATCATTTCTTATCAAATGAGACCTTAAACTTTACCGAATTCGAGTGGTATAAGTGCCATCAGTTAGAGATACATTACTCAATTATATCATTGACAATGATAATAATAATAAAATCGACCATACTTGAGATTCTTTTTGTCTTTTTACCGAAATGGCTCAATAGTACTCAAAGAAATCATTTCCAGTATCTGCAGAAGAGGTTACTATTCGGAATTGGATTTCTGCTGCATAGGTGAAGAAGCTTAACAGCACTCCTTCCAGCTACATATTGAACACGCGTTAATCTGAAGCTGCTGTTAACTGGATTTTAGTCTTATGTGAAACCATTTCTGTTGTTAGAGGATTTGAATATTATTTATTACTTCCTTTATTTCCTAGAGCAACATAGGGCTTCAGCTGCACGTCTCCACTGCGTAGGGCTCTCTGCTAAAGTTTTCATCTGACTCCAAGTCTGCCCACATGCTTTCATCTCCTCTCCACTCGAGAGAGGGAGTCTGGCGTGTGATGTCACTTGATGGTTTCCTCAGAGTATGGCCAATCCATCTCCATTTCTTCTTGCTTATTTGTTTCACAATCGGTTCCTGGTTGGTTCGCTCCCAGAGATCCCTCCCTGTTGCTGATCTTTTCTGGCCGGCCGTCTGATATTGAGTATTGAGCGAAGACATGTGTTGATGAAGGTCTGTAATTTGTTTGGGATGCTCTTTATGACGTGCCAAGTCTCTGATCTGTATAGTAGGTAGCACTGACTTCACATAGGAGTTGAAAATCCGGATCTTATTTTTGATGCTGAGTGTTGTTGACCTCCACTCAGAATTGAGAGTAGTGTAACTTTGATTTGCTTTCCCGATTCTTGCTTTGATATCCTCGTCAGTTCTGCCTGTAGTTGAAACGATGCTCCCAGGTCGGTAGGTGAAGGAGGTTGTTTCTTTCAGGTTCCTCCCATTTATGTTGATTGTTGTCTGTTGTTGTTGCTGTTGGCCAGGAATCTTCATCACTTCTGTTTTCTCTATGTTTACTTGGAGTCCTATCTTTGATGCTTGTTCTGTCAACTTGTTGCTTTTCACTTTTATATCTCCCTGTTTGTGAGAAACCAGACATATATCATCAGCAAAGTTCAGATCCTTTACGTCTTTTGTGTGGTTCCATTTTATGCCTGTTTCCTCACTGCCCGGCTAGCTGTCGCATTATTCAGTCTATCACAATCAGGAAAATCACTGGAGATATTCGGGAGCCAGCCGGCCTTGTCTTACTCCCGTCTTCAATTCGAAGGATTCCGTGAGTTTCCCGTTGTGGATTACTTGGCATGCAGCATTGTCGTACATCTGTTGGTTGAGGTGTATAATTGTCGTTGGCATCCCGTAGAAGCGAAGTTGTCTCCGAATCACCTCTGTATCGACGCTCTCTTCTGAAGGCCTTTTCAAAGTCGATGAAGTTGAGATAGAGGGGTGACTGGCATTCCAATCCCCACAGGATTTGATTGTATTCCATATATTCATTTGCTATTTGCTGCTTAACGAATACACTCTAATTCACGAAAATGTTTCTCTCAGTTTGATTTAAGCACAAAGAGTGAAGGATATGAAAGTATTTTAAATTACCTGCATCTCATTTCACAATATTGGATTGAATGAAACTCGCAGAATACAATTAGTCATGTTGTGAATGATTAACAAACTAACACCTAGTCAGCCATAACTTCTTTTGTCCTAACACATCCACGCATATTCAGTGTGTCGTCGTTATTCGTGTCATGAGTTGATTGAAATTTTCATAGCCATTTCTAATACTTTTTTCATGATTTCGTCCACATTTGCCTACTAATAAGCCTCTTCACGATTGTCATTCCTTTTCAGGTGATAGCACTCATTGTTCAAGCTATTCTAGGTGATAGACGATTCACATTTCGAGATGATCAACACCTACTCTGTGGATTGATAACTGGCATGTTAATCATCTGGATGCAATTGATCATTTCAACAGAGGTGACGTTTATCTACGTGCTAATAACGAGTAATAACAATAACGATAATCCATCCGGCTCATCTGTGGATACATACTTACAAAGAAAAGCAGTAGATTTTTTACTCGTAAAACAAATTTATCATAAATTTTGAAAAACGCAAATATTACAAATAAAAGTACATGACTACCACATTCTCAATCTTATTTATTCCATCTCACATCGACTCAACTAGAAGAATCAAAGAATCAGTAGAAATTCGTTGTTATTTCATGTTATCAAGTTGAAGACAATCTGCAAGATATCAGCTCAAGTATAGGCGACAATTTCGTCCATCCAATGAACATCAGTGGAAAGCTCAACGCATTGGTTGGTGTTATTGCTTGTTGACTGATGAAATTTCAAACCTGATAGATACGAACGAGTCAGAATTGAGGCCTAGAGGCTGCCTAGTAAACAGCTAGTAACCAAATGGCATTACGATAATGCTGTGACATCATTTTAACTTGATGATGATTATTGGTGTACTTGAATGTGTTTAGCGTTAACTCAGGATAGCAGTGATTGATAACAGATTTAGTAAAATGATGTCACGTGTCTAAATGAATGCAAAGATAAAATGTAGATGGACATTTCTAAGAACTTCGATTCAGGTATCATTTTTAAATTCATCATTTTGTTCATAAAGCTTCATCATAATAGCTGTGACAGTGATCTTGCTAGTATCATTAATATAGCTATTATGTGTCTCTGTGGATGAAATGTTCCCATGTGGACATCAATATTCCATCTTAAGACTAAAAAACAACGCTGGTCAACGCAAGTACAAGAAAATTCTGATGTAGATGAAGCGGGGATTTCAGAAACATCTTTTCTACCTCATGAGTTGTCTACAGTATTCCCGCAGGAAACCATTATGAGATGAATCTAGTATTGTCTCGACAGGACACAATTATGTCAAAATCTACACGCCGATGATCGCTAGGTTGTGCATGCTGATTACACAGCACCGCCAAATTTGATACCGCCAGTTTAAAGCTACATTGGAATCCAACCTGATAGAGTGGAATACGTATGATTAATTATTATTATTCCTATGGATTTCAGTTGGAACATATGGATTCAAAAACACACCTCCATTTTGTTCGATTGTCGACAGTCCTCTTTATCTGGGTCCACGATGGTCGATAATCTCCCATCTCCACCTACAACACATACGATCTCGTCCTTGTTACCCTCTCACTGGCAGCCCACTCATCGCTTCCTATTGTGGTAAGAACGCTCGCCGACCATGCACATGGTCCGGGGTCCGATCCCCCGCCGACGCACTCCTTTACCTCGCTGAGCCAGAGATAATGCTGGTGAAGAGGAAAGGTTGGGCATGAGGCTAGCAACCCCATCCTGTAAAATAAACACTACTACCGGAACTTCAAGCCACTAGCTTGAAGCCCTATGTTCCACTGGGGAACGTGAAGGAAAAAGAAAAACGCACATGTCAAGTTTCTGACCCATATAGGAGAAGTGACTTGGTGACTTCACATTTACTTTGAAAATCCATATCTTATTCTTTATGCCGGCTGGCTGAGTGCAGTGCAGAAGATTTCCAAACTGGTTTTAGGTTGGTGAGGACATAAAATGCCTTTCTGATTCTCTCTGTTTTTGACATCTTCATCCGTTCCAGCTTCTTGTGGTTGAAACCATGTTTCCTGACCAGATAAGTGAAGGAAGTAACATTTGTCAAATCTCCCTTGTTGATGGTGAATGGTGCTGATTGCTGTTGCTGTTGGTTGATTATCTCGGTCACCTCTGTCCTCTCTGTGTTCATCTGGAGTCCTGTCTCCACTGCTGGCTTGTTGGCTTTCGCCTGTAAGTCTTCGAGTCCGTGTGAAGTTATACACATATCATCTGCGAAATCCAGGTCTCCTAGATTCTTTTTACCGGCGGTCAAACGTATTTCTATTTTCTCATTTCCATGCACAGTCTGACAAATAATTCAGTCTACCACAGTTTGAGATTTCATCAGTGATAATAGGCAGACAGCCTTGCCTTACTGCTGTATTCACTTCTAATTCCTCCCTGAGTTTTCTGTTTTTGATTATCTGACACGTAGCATTACCATATAGCTGCTAAATGAGGTTGAATAAAGACTTGGGGTACGCTTGAGAACCACTGAGGTAATGACAAACGAGAGACTCCCTGATATTCTTAAGTTACTTTATTAAAAACATTAGAGGTGAGTTTTGCCTGGTTGTTTAATCTTATATTCTAAAAGAAATGGATCACTATCTCACCATAATCCAGAATGCTCTTCCAAAGGGTCACAACAAACTGTTTTCTGAAACAAATAAATCGAAAAGATTCAAATACAACAAGAATATTGATGCTTAGCATACAGATTAAAGGTGGTACTTAGTACCACATGAATATGAAAAGGTACCAGGAAGAACGCTGCTGGCAATATCGGACAACTTTGGTGTCAGAGTCAATTGGCGTTTCATGGCACTTTCACCGCGAGCGAATTATAATGTGCACACAGACTTGACATTTAGCGAGGATTAATCACAATTCTGGTTAGTAATTCGGTAACCGTTTCTTGAAGTACGCGATAAGTTGATTGCAACTATTCATCAGACGTAAGGCAAAAAACAGCAGTTGTCTTTCTTGTGCCGTGATAAAAATCTACTTAACTGAGGAAATACAAAGTTCATTCCTTTGAGAAGAGAACAAAATAATATTCCAGCATATTAGATTAGTATGCGAAGCATGTGAAAGACAATACACAACCATCACCGGCAAGTCAGTTAAGTTATAGCATACGGGTAGAGAATTAGTCATTCAATAATATAAAATGAGTTTTAATCAGAAATATAAATAAATTATATTCAAGAAACTGTCCTATTACTGACAGTGATGATAGAAGTTATAGTTGAAAGCTAAGTCAGATTTCAGATCTCTACTTTGCCTATGCATATCCCTACTAAATTTGCTAAGACATTGAACAATGTCCGAGAACCACCTGAATTATTAGAAAGATGGTTGTAACGAAGAAAATTTTCTTTTCGACGAAGTCATCAACTAGACTGTACATTAGTGTATTCATATTAAGTATGTGAGAAAGTTCTAGAATTATTGCAGGTCAGAGGTCAGATTAATAAAATTACTAAGTGTAATAAACAGAGGATAGGTAGTTGTACTGTCCTAGAAATATTTCAGCACCCACCACGTTAACTTCAACAAGCACATACAAGTTCACTTGCTCGTGTGCTCTTGGCCAAACCATACATCCGCTTATAAACACACGCGGGAGCACTATCCATCATGGTTAGCAAAGGTAGAATAGAAAGGGGAATACGGTTCGATAACAGAACATCTGGTTAATTCTGGACATTCAGCCCCGTTTGATAAGTCCTTCAAAGTCATATACAAGATCCGATCTAACCTACCAAAGGGAGTCGGATCAAGAAATCTAGGAGCAGCTGAAGCGCTGGCAATCCAGAAACTCAATCCCACTCTTTGTGTCCAAAAGAAATACGCTCAACTGTTGTCCCTACCGTGACCATCATGAAAAGCCAGTCTCACCAATACTGATCATCCTATTACCTCTCCTGTTCAACATTCCAATTTATTTCTATCATATTTAACTTTTTTTAAATCCCTATCTGCATTATTAGATTTCGTTACTGTTTTTATCTTGATATGTCATAACCTCCCACCCATTTAGTTAATCCTACATCTTTAACCCGTAATTATACAAACTGATGAGTTTTCTAGTAATTATAATCCTATTTTGTCTTCTCTACCTGATCTTCCTGATTATTAAACGTTGGGATTTTAATTTGACCTTTGACCTGAAATATTTCTAGAATAGTACTACTACCTATCTTCTGTTTATTACATGTAGTAATTTCATTAATCTAACCTCTGAACGGAAATAATTCTGGAACTTTTCTCACACATTTAATATGAATACACGAATGCATAGCCTAGTTGATGACTTCGTCGAAAAGGAAATTTTCCTTGCTTCAACCGTCTTTTTAATATTCAAGTGTTGGTTTGCAAGGATTTGATTGGTTTCAGGATTTCATCATGAGCTGACATTAGTTAGAGAACCATTGGAAAACCTGCATGGAGTACTAGACAGCTGTTTCATCCCAGTTTGGGACTCT